TAAGCTCCTTTTCCTGCCTCAACATCACGAGGGAAATTGCAAATATCCTTAGCCGGACGATTTGTTAAAATTGTGCGAGGCCCGACCCAGTGGATATCCATTATACGGACAGGCATATACACTGAAATAAATGAATATCTCTCAGTCTAGACAAGCATATCTACCGTATAGATAGATAAATGTATGTATATCTGATAGAGAGGCAGATATGCATTTATTTATGTGTATATGCATGGCTGTATATACGAATATTCATCGGGTGAGGCCTCACAAGACGGCCTTGAAAGTCTTAAACTCTCTTCTCTCTTTCTCCTACCATCTTATTTCATCCTCTGCCACAAGTTATCCATCTTTTTATTCATTCTATTTTCTAGAATTATTTTTGATTAATTCTATCATCTAAACAGCGAGAGAATATCCAGCTGTTATATATGGGAATATGTTCATAATGTACTCAAAGGTATGATCAAATATTGTGTGTGTGAGGGGTGGGGGGAGTGTGTATGTATGTGCATCTGTATGAAAGAATGAACATTGATATCTATATATCTGTCTGTCTATCTTCCCATTCGTCTATCTACCTCTCCTCCTGTCTATCTATCTATTTATATCTGTCCCTGTCCACATATTTATCTATTTGTACCTCTATCTATGCCTACAACTATATATCTATACATCTATCGATCTATCCATCAACCTACATACACGCACTCATACCTACATAGACACGAAAAATAAATACTGGTAAATAAAAAAAAGTAAATGAGAAAAATAGAATGAGATGAATAGACACGAAAAGTAAATACTGTTGAATAAAAAAGCAAATGAGAAAAATAGATAAATAGAGAAATAAAAGTTAACAAAGGCAGCCTCGCTTCACAGGCCATCGAGCTCAGCGCAAAAGTCAAACTAGGATTTATTTATGCTCATTTCCCCCTCCCTTCAGCCCCCCGCCCCCCTTCCCCTCCCTTCAGCCCCTCCCCATCCCTCCCTTCAGCCCCCGCCCCCCTTCCCCTCCCTTCCCACTCCTCCCCCTGCTAGCACAAAGGTGAGCCACAGGGAGGATTCAGGAGGGAAACAAAGGGAGAAATATTGAAGGGAGAGGGGTGCTGGGAGGAAGGGAAAAAATGAAAAGAGAGAGGGAAGAGGAGGGAGAGAGAGGGGGGGGAGAGAAAAAGAGATGCAGAAAGAGAGAGAGAGAAGAGAGAGAGAGAGGAGAGAGAGAGAGAGAGAGAGAGAGAGAGAGAGAGAGAGAGAAGAGAGAGAGAGAGAGAGAGAGAGAGAGAGAGAGAGAGAGAGAGAGAGAGAGAGAGAGAGAGAGAGAGAGAGAGAGAGAGAGGGAGAGAGAGAGAGAAATAGATGCAGAAAAAGAGAGAGAGACAGAAAGAGAAAAAGAGAGAGAGAAAAATAGATAGAGAGTTTGGGGGGGGGGGTCGGAGAAAGAGAGAGAGAGACAGACAGACAGAAAATGAGACAGACAGACAGGTAAAGAGACAGAAAGAGGATTATGATGATAATCACAATAATGAAATGATAATAATAATAATAATAATAATAATGTAATGAAAATTATTTATTACAATAATGTCAAGAATAATGATATTAATAGTAACAATGATAATGATAACAATAATAATAGCAATAATATTAATCATAACGATAATGATGATAATGATAATAATAAAAGTAACAAAAACAACATCAAAACTAATAACAACAATACAAAGGCAATAATAAGATTGGTAATAGTGATGATACCAATTATATTAATCATAACAGCGACAATGGTAATAATGATAACAAAATACAATAATGATGATGATAATGAAAATGATAGAGATAATAATAATGATGATAACAATGATAATATCAATGACTGTAATAGCTATAATAATGTTCACAATAATGATAGTAATAATAATGATGATGATAATGATAAAGTTACGATGATAATAAAAATAATAATCTTGATGATGACAATGATAATGATAATGATAAGAGTAATGATTATAATGAAAATAATAAGGATAATAATGATGATGATAATAAAGAAAATGGTAATGATAACGATAACAATAACAATAAGAAGAACAAACATTATGATAATAATAATAATGATGATAATGATATTAGTAGTAATGATAATGATGATAGTAACAATAATAATGGTAATAATGATAATAATAACAATAATAATGGTAATTAGTGATATTATTATCATCATAAATATTATTTTCGTTTTTATTATCATTATTTTCACTATTACTACTATAATTTTTTATCCTTATCATTACCATTCTACTACTATTATCAATATCATCATTTTTAATATCAACCTTATTATTACCATTATTATCATTATAATTATTATCGTCATCTTCATTATCATCGTTTCTATAATCACTATTATCATTATTGTTATTATTATCATTTTCATTATATAGTATCATATAATATTATCAATATAATTACTATTCTTTTCTATCATTGTCACTATTAT